GGTTGTATTGATATGTTTCCATATCAAATTATTCTGATATTATTGTACATTTTCAGCTTAGACTGTATTGATGTGTTATTTGAATTGAAATTATTCTTACTCAAAATTAAATATTGTATTTGCCTAAATTGGATGTCATAAAAAATATGTTATGGATGTTTAAGAATAAAATATTTGCTCCTTTTTTACGAAAACGCTAATAGGATGTTATAAAAAATACAGATTATCATGGCATATTCACACGTTTTTACCAAATAAATCTTATCGGCATTATTCACCAAAAATCTAATCTCATTTAAAAATCGAGTTGTCTGATAGATAAGTATATTATTTTAGAAGTATAGCGAGAATTAGAATTTGTCATAATTATGGGGGAAATGAAATTGTTCAGCAAACCATTGGAAAAGATTTACCAATAATTTTACCAACAAAATTAATTTGAAATTTATCACCAAATGATTGGAAAAGTGGTTAAGAAAAAAGAAAAAAAGATGAGGTAACCTCTATTTTTAAAATATCCACCCGTTTTTTTTCCTAAAAAACAATATATGAAATTGATTTGCTCATTTTTTCCTAATCTCATGAGTTTTTTTTTTTTAAATCTTATAATAGTAAGTCAAACATTTAATTAAAAAGTCAAAGTTACTATTTATATATTTTTTCAACAATATTTTTATATCAGCATAAAGGTAATATTTGATAAACATAATGGAAAATGCTAGTTAATAGTTGATAACATATAAAATTAGTTTTTGGTGCTTAATTATTTTTTTTTTTAAAAAAAAAAGAAAAATCTTATAAAGTTTCTTTATATATAGTGCATGTCATAAAAAATTTTATCAAATGTTTTATATGTTGGCTAGTTTTTGTTGGTATATGTGTTCTAGAGACAATCTTTTTTAGGATATATATATACATGATCATATTAATAATTATATTGGATTATAATTATGATATTGTAATTAATTAAATAATTATTTAATTGTTTGTAATTTATTAATTAATTGTTTCCTTGAGTTAATATTGTCATTAACAGAGTGAGATATTAATTGATATAGTATAACTCTTAAATTTCCTCAATCGATGATCATTAAGAAAGAGATATTAATGATACGTGATAGTTTAACATGTAGTCTACATCATATTCTTGGAGAATATAGTATGTCTCACGACTATGAATATTGTTATTCGTGAGGACATATGAATTTTTTGGACAGTATTGGCTCCCTTCCGATAAACTATTTGTTTATGTCTCTATGGGAGTATCGAAGTGTGAAATGGTGTAATAGTCATTTGACTTGAGTTCAATACACAATTTATGTATAGAGTGATCTACTTAGATCTAGTCTAATGCTTACAATCTTATGGGTACACACAGGCTTGTATTGAGTTGATCACGATATATATGAAATTGGTAGTTGAGCCAAAATATGATTTATTCCACAAATATTGTTTCGAGAGAACACTCGTTTTCTCTATAATGAGTTGATAAAGTCATTAGCCAATGCACGTGATTATATTTGAAATGATGTTCAAATATAATTATATAAAATCAACCAATAAGATTAGATAAAATAATTAAGCTTTTTGGATAGAAATGGTCGTTATTCTTTTGCAACTAACCTAAAGATAATCCCAATCATCAAACAACCCACCACATCATCTTAAATGGTCAGCCACGATGGCAAAAAGATGGTCTCCGATCAACATCGAGTTCGTGGCCAACTAGGACAATATCGGGATTTATTTATAAATATTCAAAAGGTTGGATTAAATTGTCAAAACGCGAAAGGTCGAGGTTTACATTACAATTAACCCTTATTATATTAGCGTTCTCCTCGCATAAATTTTTGACAAATTAACACATCTAACCACCAGCTAGCTGCAACACTTGTGGAGCAAAAGTGGTTGACAAATTATGCATTCTAATGTTTCTCTGATTTATCTTTTCCCTGCCTTCTTTCATCTGTATGCCATTGTAACCACAATAAAACGCCCACGACTTACATGTCCGTATGTATATAGAGACACATCCCTACAATACATTCAGGCTGGTAACCTTGCAAGAGTGATTATTCCACTACAGACAGATCATCCCAAACCCAACATCAAGAAAAACAAAGAACATAAAAATTACTTACACCTCAATCACACATTCTCAAGGACCAGTTTGACGCCATTGTTTTTGAGAGCATTGACAATAGCCCACACCTTGGTCCGATTCTGGAGACCTTTCCTCTCGATCTCCTTGCCAACGTCCACGTGGATTCCCCTACCTTGCCCATTCTCCAGACCTTCAACCCTCAGCCTCATGGCCAGAACCTCCCCCACAACCGCAGCTGCCTTGGCATTGCACGTGCGCTTGCACTCCAGCGTGCTCTTCAGGGCATTCTCCACGCTCGAGGCACTTGCCACTATCCGCCCATTGTTCCGGTCCACCACATTTGCCGTTATGTATTTTAGCGATATGAACATCCTCACCACGTACCTCTTCAGCAATGTCATCTATCTCCTTTCAATTATCACTCACTCTGCCTGTTTGTTTTTTTTTTTCTTTTTTTTTTTCCTCCTAATCGTTCCTATTCATCCCAAGACAACCATGTCAAATTATTCATTTTGTTGCTATTATCGTGATAAACAAGAAATGGGTTAATTCGCTTCCATATATGATTTATTCAAGTAAAAAACAAGAAAAAAAGAGAACTAAAAGTTAACATGGGCATTTTATCGAACACCAAATCTGCATGCCATAGGCAATGGAAAAATGAAAAAGATTTGAATCTGATTTATTATAACAAACGGGTAACGTAAATTAGCTCTTTTTACCTTCGTCACAAGAAGAGCACAGGTAGGACTAAGCAAGAAAGATGTATGGCGTCTTGAATCCTACAGGAAAACTATTATATGTAAAGATCCGAAATTTATGAAAGAGTCGATGATGAGTTTTAGGAAGATAAAGGAATGCACCAATGACCCAAGAGCGCTTGGATGAGATGGCTTGGGTCTCTTCCAGCTTAACCAGTGGTCTCGGGTTCGAGCCCTGGGAATGCAACAGTGTTAAAACTCTTGAGGGAGAGCTTTGCCGCCCTTGTGGTCCTACCCGGCTTGATTCCGGATTAGTCAGTTTCCCTGTGGATCCGGAAACCGGAAGGTNNAAAAAAAAAAAAAAAGGAATGCACCAAACCCCAACACATAATAGTTATGGGAAATGCTACAATCTGATGGAATAGTTTCGTGGGATTTGTAACATTTAGATCTTCATGTAATCATTATGGATATTTAATCTATCGGTTATAAATTTGATGGAATAGTTTCGTGACAGGGATAGTAGAACTTTTCAATATTATAGTAATAGTAATAGACAAAACAAACACTCAAAATTATTTTAATTTTAAATAATAAAAAGAAAAAGATAATATACATAAAACAAAATCAAAACCTGTTTTCCTTCCTCGTGCGTCT